GGTCTTTATCTCTTGCAAGTGCTTTCATTTCTTTCGCAATTGGGTGGCATTGTCTTTCATTGTGAATTTGCACTTGGGAAATGACCAGGATCGTAACAATAGAATCTTATTCTAATTTTTTATTTTATTTTTATATTTATTTTTATTTATTTTTTTGTTTTTTCTTTTTCTTTTTTATTTTTATTATTTTTTTTATTTATTGTCGGATTTTTTTCTTATATTTTTATTTTTTWTTTTTTATTTTTTTAATTAATTATTATTTTATTTTATTTTATTATTTTCATATTTTCATATTTTTATATTTTATTATGTTATTAGCTTATTATTTTTTCATTATTATTATTTACAGGGTTACCTGACCGAACGTTCGGGCGTTCGGGGTCCCGTTCGGGGGGCAAACACCTCCAGGTTCGGGCCCCGCCAAAAAATATTTCGGGGCCTAAAAATAAGTTTTGTATTCTGAATTGTTTTTTGTGAGTTCTCTATGATGTAACCTACACGCCTATACATTTTGAAGCCATTGTGCTAAGCCAAAAAAACATTAAAAACCGTCAAAGAGGGGGGTGTCAAAACGTGCTCGCCCACTCACTATGTTGTTTTTTCTCACTTTTAACTTTTTGTTTTCACTTTATTTCGGGGCCTAAACAATTTTATTATTTTTTTTTAAACTTTTAATCAGTTATTGATTATAAAAACTACATATCTGTAAATTTTCAGGGCATTTGTCAATGCCAAAACATAATTAAAAATCGGCAAAGATGGCGGTGTCGAAAAGGTGCTGGCACACTCACTCATTTTAATTCTCTTTTTATTTTTTCTTATTTTTATCATAGTGTTTATTTTCTGTATTGGATTTTTAATTCCAATTTGGTAAAGAATTTGGATGTAGTGCCCAGGCAAATGCTGTTTAGTTTATTTGTCTCCATAACATAGTTGTTTTTCGGAATTTTTTGAAAACTTTTTTTTTTTTTTTTTTGGCGTGCCGTTTTTTTTATTGTTTTTTTTTGGGTTGTCTCGAAGATTCGAATTTTGCCGCCACTCGAAGCTGGACCACGGCCATCCTGGCGGACAACGGTCCATGGACCACCGACCCTACCCCACCCCGCGGTCAGCAATAATATTATTACGTGGAGGGCGCGGGCCCTCCGTCGGAATCCTCCTCGGAAGGCCTTCCCAGGGAAATCTCCAGGACGGCCCGAGCGAAAACTCCTTGGGCCCCGAGGATAGCCCGAGGAGTGTCTAACGAGCCCCTAAACCACCAGTATGTTTCCCAGCCATTTTCTCTGATGCTCCTTGCATGCTGATGCAGTGCAGCTGCACCTTTCGGGGGTCAGCAACAGGAGCAAAATGGCTGGTGGTGCCAGCCAAAACAAGGTCCGTGCCAGTTCATTTTTTTTTGCCACGCAGGCCGTTTGGAGCCCCAGGCAAAAGGAAGTACTGGTGGTCTAAGCACATTCTGAGTTTTGCTACACATTCCTTTTTTTTTTTTTTTTTTTTTTTTTGAATCAAATAGAACAATTCTAGGGCCTGTCAGTTTGACAATAATGCTCTCAAATACGTCACCCTGTTTTTTTTTTTGTTTTTTTTTGTCGAAACCTCCAGGAGGACTGAGTGTTGCGACCCGTTCGTGCCGGCTTCAAAGACACTATTATAGTATCATGATACTATCCTCTATATTAAACCAGCAGAACTTCCGGGGCACTTTTATCTGGTGCTGGAAATGCACTGTGCGGCATAAAAAATGAACAGGCGCAGGCCTCCTTTTGGCTGGCGCCGCCAGCCATTTTGCTTCAGCGGCTGAGCCCCGAAAGTTGTGGCAGCATGCAAGCCGTGACTTCGAAAAACGGCTGGGGAAAGTACCAGTGGTTTAATAGGTCTTGCTTTTCTGAAAGGATGCAGGATTTTGATACACAATAAGACTTTTGCACGCAAGTGGCCTTCAGGAGGCCGTGGGTTCAATCCCCATGGCGCCTGCAGTATGCTTGGTGCCTACCAGCTGAGATAGTCAGTGTGATCCCCCAGGTTGATATCAGCCAGCAAGTGTGAGTGGGCTGTGTGTGGTGTGTGAGAGAATGTTGGCCTTAGACACTGCTGTTACTCCTGGGGGTGGGGCAAGATGAAAAGGGAGGCGCAGCTACTGCCAAATGCCCGGTCCTTGTGTTAGCCGGGCCCCCAACTGTGGCCCCAACCCTGCACCCTAAACCGCTAGGGCAAGGAGCAAGACCTCCCTCCACAAAGAAAGGTAACCTCCCTCCACCAAGAGAGGTAACCTCCCTTCCCCAAGAGAGGTAGATAGCTATGAATTTTATTTTGGAAATCCAAATTCCCATTGGACGCACCCCATCCAATGGCTGTATAGAGGGCCTGACTTCATTTTTTATTTTGAGCTGCAGTTCGTAAGCCACATGGAGTCCCACAGCTCGTCTGCTAGCCTGTCCGCCTGCTAGTGGAACCACGTCCCAGGCTCATGTCCAAAGGTCCCACTTGCACGGATTAAGGGCCTCGCTCCACCAGCTCCACCAGTCAACATGCGACGTGTATGATCCAACATTTTGAGTGTACCTATTACCAGGTCCAGATGTAGTGGAGCAAGGCCGGCCGCAGATAACGGGGATCAATGGCATATGGCCTTGCAAGTGGCATCCTGCCACCGGCCATCCCTGAAGCTGCCCCTTCTCTTTTTCTCGGATGCTCCCAACATATTTCAGTAAGTTGGGGTCTTTGTCGCGTTCACCATTCTTTGTCACTGCTCGAACTCACGATCTGTTTTGTTAGCAGTTATATGTGTGTTCAAGTGAGCCACATGGGCTGAGTCTGGCCCTGCCGATCACTGCCCATCATCCGACTAGTGACATTCCTGGGCCCGAGT